GCCTCTGAGTTTTTCACAGGAATTTACTCCTGAGAGACAAAAGACCAGGAATCTGGTCCTCACTTTTAGTTATGATATAATGCTTTACTGAACATTGTTTTATTTACCTTGGTCAGGCATTTAGTCTGTCAGAATGTTTATTTCCCCTGGTCTATGCCAGTCCTTAATTAGTTAAAAAAATTAAATAAAATTTCTTAGAACAGTAACCTTAGACCAGGAGGACTTATGGGAACAATAGTAAAGCAAACTGTCTGTCCTGCAGGGCTTTGCTTTTGGCCTTCTCCCCTTTATCTGAACTCATTTTCTTTGACCAGTTGCCAGGTTGTTATGTCAAACATCGCAAGCATTCGCGCACGGTTGATGCATGTGTTGTCCCTTTTTGAGGGACATTTCAATGAAAAATACTAAAACTGGGGTGAAGAAATCATCAAATTTCTTTGACACCCCTTTTCTTGATTTCTTTGTAGTCACTTCTTTTAGGATATGTGTTTATTTTCAAGGTTGTTTTATAGATGGTAATTTAAACTGTTAGAACAAAGTGGGCTCCCAAATGATAAAGTTCAACCTTATTCCCTTTGTTGAATGGATTTCACTGTAGTATGTTTTGGTGTTGTTTAAACATATGGCTTCAATGGTCACTGTGGTCGGTTTTCTTAAAACCCTTCATGATGGGTTAAAAATTATAGCCTTTTGAAGCTTTAAGATGTGAGCTAATGTTATGCTCGTTTATTTCATGTATTTATACTGCATGTACTGTACAGCTAAAGTTCTTTTCTCATTTGCAAGGTGGAGAGGTGACTTTCAAGAGTTGGTGATTAAGTGAAGAGGGGGCTCGAGTTAGGTCTTGAAAGATGACAATAATCTGGTTATGTTGAGACGGAAAAAGAAAGTATGTCAGGTGGAGAAAAGAGGTTGGGCAAAGGCAAAAGGGTAAAGCTCAGAGTTTATGTATGATTAACTTTATTTCTGGTGTGTATTAGAATTAGAGAGAATCTTCTCAAGGTATTCCTGTGCTGCACCCATCCTTCAGTTTAGGAGCAATGGTATAACATATTTGAAAGGGGAGTTGAGAGAAAGTAGACTGGGAAAGATAGATTGGGATTGGGAAGGAAGAAGTAAAGCTGTCTCTACTCACAGATGACATGGTCTAGGATGTAAAAATCCTAAGGAATCTACAAAAGTGCCATTAGAACTGAAACATAAGTTCAGCAAGGTTGCAGGATATGAGGTTAAAATACAACAACCAGCTGTACTTCTATATGCTAGTAATGAATGATCCAAAAATGAAATTTAAAAAAATTCCACTGATAATTGTACAAAAAAAAATAAAATACATAGGGGAATAAACATAACAGAAATAATGAAAAACTTGTACATTAAAAATTATAAAACATTGTTGAAAGAAATTAAAGATGAAACAAATGTAAAGACAGCCGACGGTCATGGATCAAAAGATGTAATGGTAATATTGTTATGAAGCCAGTACTCTATAGATGTGAAGTCCCTGTCAAAATCTCCACTGTCTGATAAGTTGATTATAACATTCATATGAAAAATGCAAGGGGCCCAGAGTGGCCAAAACAACCTGTAAAGGGAAGAACAAAGTTGGAGGAATTACATTTATTTTACTTAATGCAAAGCTGTGGTAATCAGGACAGTGTTTTACTGGCATAAAGATACACTTCTAGCTCAATGGAATAGAATTGAGAGTCCAGAAATAATCCTTCACGTTGATGGTCAATTGATATTTTACAAGGGTAACAGGGCAATTCAAGGGGGAAAGAATAATCTTTTCAACAAATAGTGGTGGGACAATTAGATATCCACATGCAAAAGAATGGAGTTAGATCTCTACTTCACATTATATATAAAAAATTAACTCAAAATGGATCAGAGATCTCAGTGTAGACATGTCTTATGTTACATAAGATACTAAAAGTATAAGAACAAAAGAAAAAATAGGTAAGTTGGATTTTATCATAATTAAAAACTTTTGTGCTTCAAAAGGTACCATCAATTAAGTGAAGAGACAGTCCACAAAATGGGAGAAAATATTTGCAAAGTATTTATCCAGTAAAGAACTGTCCAGAATATATAAAGAATTCTTACAATAATAAAAGTACAATTCAATTATAAAATGGGCAAAGGATCTGAATAGACATGTCTTTAAAGAAGATGTACAAATGGCCAATAAACCTATGACAAGATGCTCAATATCATGAGTCATTAGGGAATGCAAATCAAAAACACAGTGAGATACCACTTCACACCCTGTAGGACGTCTGTAATAAAAAATATGGACAATAATGGAACCTTCCAACTGGTAGGATTGTAAAATGGTATAGTTGCTTTGGAAAATGGCCTGGCAGTTCCTTAAAACATTAAACATAATTTTACCATATGACTCAGAAATTCCACTCCTAGGTATATACCAAAGAGAATTGAAAATACATTCAGTCACAGAAACTTGTATACAAATTCATTACACATAGTAGCTAAAAAGTGTAAACAACCCAAATATCCATCAGCTGATAAATGGATAAAGAAAATGTTGTATTTCCATATGATGAAATATTATTTGACAGTAAAAGGAATGAAGTTCTGATATATGTTACAACATGAATAAACCTTGAAAACATTGTGCTAAGTGAAAGGAGCCAGACCCCAAATGTCATGTATTTATGATTGCATTTAGATGACATGTCCAGAATACACAAATCCATAGAGGCAGAAAGTAGATACAGGGTTTCTTTTTGGGGGTGATGAAAATGTTCTGGAATTAAAGGTGATGGTTGCACAATTTTCTGAATGTACTAAAAACCACTAAATCTTAAAAGGGGGGTGGAATTTAAAGTCCTACTGCATTCTTTTGGTGGGGGGAGGGGTAGTTGGCCAATACAGGGATCAAACCCTGGACCTTGGTGTTGTCAGCACTATGTTCTAACCAACTAAGCTAACCAGCCTGCCCATACTACATTCTTTACTGAAAAAAATAAGAATGTCAATATGCCACTGTGGGAAGAGAGATCTATGCTGTCTTCCTTTTCAAAATCAGGGTTTGAAAAGTTGCTTCCTCTTCAGATTTCAGCAAGCTATACCTTATTAGCTCTGTCGTGAAGTTATAAATACTGCTATCACAGAGGAGTGTTTCTTACTTCCCATTAACACTTGATCCAAATTTAATTTTTTAAATATATTTTGAATTATTTTTTTAAGTGGAATATAAAACAACATACACTCAGATGCGTTATTGTTTAGTTTATCAGATTTTAACTCACTAGGGGAACTTGGAATCAAGTCTTTCATGCCATTTCAGTGTGTATATTTGGATATTTATCAAATATTTCACTAAATAGGAAGGTTGTAGTTCTGCAGCGGTTTAAAAACAACAATACAAAAGTAAAGTAAGTATACTGTATTTCTAGTGTAGATGGGGATGTTCTTGATACAAAGTAACGAACACCAAATCCAGAAGGAGATTGGATACTGGGGCTGATATGACTGTAACTGTTATTCATAAACCCCCAATTTAAATTTCTTGTTTATCACAATTGTTAGTTCTCACTGACTGTCATTTTAATTGGAAAGTGTAAATATATTAGAGTAAATATATACTTATTAAATATTGTTTTCTCTGCTTCCAATATTGGGTTTCTGCATAAGATACCATTGAAATTTTATGCAATTGGTGATCTCACTTATATGTAGAATCCACAAAAAAAAGCAAACTCAGAGAAGCAGAGAGTAGAATGGTGGCTACCAGCGACCGGAGTGGGAGGGGATTGGGAGATTTTATTCAAAGGATATAAAAAAAATTTCAGTTAGGAAGAATAAATTCAGGAGATCTACTGTATAACATAGTGACTGTAGTTAATAACCATGTATCATATACTTGAAAATTGCTGAGAGTAGTTTTTAAGTGTTTTCACCACCAAAAAAAGGTATGCGAATATGTTAATTAGCTCGATTTAGCCATTCCACAATGTATTGTACACATGTATCAAAACATCGGGTTGTACACCATAAACGTGTACAACCATAAACGTGGAAAATGGTCTGGCAGTTCCTTAAAACATTAAACATAATTTTACCATATGACTCAGAAATTCCACTCCTAGGTATACCAAAGAGAATTGAAAATACATTTAGTCACAGAAACTTGTATACAAATTGGAAAGATTCGTGTTATCTTTTAACTCTCTTTTTCCACAAATGTTTTGAAGTACCCTTATAACTTTTATTTGTCAATTAAAAAAAATAAATAAGTAAAATGAGAAAAAAATTAATTTTATGTGTTTGGGATCCTGGAAATCTTTCTCAACAAATTAAGTTTTCTATTCCATTTTGGCTGCACTCTCATTCTTCAGGGATGTTTTGAAAGCATCTCATTCCTTAGAAATCCAACAGTCTGTTGGTAACACCAAGGTCGAGGGTTTGGATCCCCATACTGGCCAACAGGAAAAAAAAAAAAAAAAAAAATCCAACGCGAAGGGGAGATTTGTGTCAGAAAAAATATTTGCCAACTTTAAATAGGTTGTATCTTTTTTTCTGAGGCTCTGTCGTGGAGATTGCACTGCACAAATATTGTTGGCTAGATCATAAGGCTGTTGTTATGCCAAATATGAATATTTTAGTTGCTATTTCACGAGTGGCGTTTAGAAGGTGATATGTATCCTTACTTTAATCTCTTTTTGCATATGAAGCTACTGAGTTATTGCCATATGTGGGACTTAATCAGAAGGAAGATTCATTGTGGCATGTGCCATTAGATTGCTTCCTTCTATGCTGAAACTTTTGTGGTTATACACAAAAAAGTAGGCTGAATAGAAGGGACCACTGTTAGGTTATGAGAAATATGTGCTGCACGGTGGTGGGAGGAAGGAGATAGTGAAAGAATCAAATGAATATTATCGATAACTAATATGTATGGCTATTCATTAATACACACTGGACCCTGTTGTTCAAAAACAAGTCATCTGTCCATTCTGTTCTCTTCATAGGTGATCATGGAGGAAGCACTTTACTCCCACCGAATGTCACAAATGAATTTCCAGAATATGGGACCATGGAGGACGGAGGAGAAGGCTTGACAGATTCACTGGAGTTTGATGTAGAGTCTCTGCCATGCCACCCACAAGGGCAGCAGGCAGTCCAGCTTCTTGCTGGCCACCACTCTGGGCTCAACAGTGTTTCAGAAGGACCAAAAGATGTCAGAGAGGCCCCCTGTCAAAGTCACCTCAAGGAACAAAGTTTACAACCCATTGACTCTTTGATTTCAGCTTTGAAAGCCACAGAAACCAGAATAGCTTCAGGAACATTACAGGCTACAAAGGTACAAGACAAAGATGCTGTTTCTAGTTTTTCAGTTCAGCAGGTGGAAAAAGAGCTGGACACTGCCAGCCATAAAACACACAGAACCAACAAACTGTTCCCTGCTGGCCAAGAAAAGTCACCGGATATACCTCTTTCAGCTGAAGTAACAAGTGAGGAAAACTTTTATTTGAGCATCCAGAAGGATCTGACCGCACTGTTAACTGGAGAAAATCAGGCAGAGCTTTCCCAGATAACTAGAAAGGGGAGAAAAGGAGCTCTCTGTACACAGGAGCCAGCTTGTCCTGTGTCCTCCTCCCTGGGAAGCCTAGCAGTGACCCACATCTCTGCGAGCAGGGTTGGTTTTGTCAAAGAGCAGAGGTCTGCTCTCGGGACAGAACACCCAGGGGGATGTGATCAAGGCAGTGCCATGGGACACCCAGGCCGGATCAAACATGTAGAATTTCAAGGTGTAGAGATATTGTGGACAGGAAGAGACAAGAGAGAGACCAAACATTCTGTAGATTTTGAGACATCACTGGAAAGAACAGTTTCTCCTGACAGCAAAGAGTTTTCCAAAGTGCCAAGCCATCTCATCTCATCTGCAAATAGTTTAACTCAGAGTGTTTGGGATGAAACCTGGAAAGCTCCTTCAGAGAGGCCTGGCACTAGCTTGGGGACATTTTCCCCTCTGCATCTTGTTGAGAGTGGAGAGGATGAAGTATTCCTGAGGGAAAACAAACAACATCTTGAAAAGAAACATGAACTAGACAGAGACAAGGAAAGGTGAGCTCCCAGAGCAGCTCTGCTATCTTTGGTGCCTGCTACACATTATAAAAAACCATTATCTTGTGCTTAATATGAGAACTCAACTCACAATACACTGGATCCTAGTTATCATAGAATGGAAAAGTTACCGTAAGGTCCTTAGATTCCTTCTAAATTGTTAAGATATTACAGTTATCTTGTTATAAAGTTGTCCATTAGGCATGGACCAGGGAAGAAGAGTTCTGAAGAGTGTGTGAACACTAACCTGTGCAAACCCATTTCTGACATTTTGTTATCTTTGATAATTAACTGAAGCACCCCACGATTATCTTTAATAATATGAAAAGCTTTGGACTGTTTTGACATATTCTGTATATGTTGCACTAGTGCCTGCAGTCCAGACTACATGCAGCCTGCAATCCAGATTACATACGTACATGAACAAAGAGGTTCTGGGTTTGGGCCCACTCAGTATTCTGAGTTTAGAAAGGACATTTCAGAAGGTCAGAAGTAGACTCTATAATTCAGTTGAGATGGGGATCCTTTCATACAAGTAGCATATATTTTGATTTATGGCTCCCAAACGTGAACTTGCCATCATATTTCTTGGTCTTTCCCACATTTCTGACATTTATCCCAGCTTGGAGCCTGAGTAAATGGAAGATATGACCCGTCTTTCTTCACTTCCTTTGATCATAGATGGACCATAGAGCACGCATTTTGGGAGAGTCATTTGTTGTGGTTTGTACTTGGGATTTATACCATCTTTCTTCTGTCAGAATCATGACACCTTTTATTTTTACATGGAAGAACATGTGTGACAATGCAAGGATTTTTTTGGTTTTTTGTTCTGTATAAGGAAATGCCTCTTACTCTACAGTTAACAAATCCACAAGAGTGATGCTCCTTGAGGGTGACTTTCAGGATCCTCTTCACTCTTCCTCCCCCAACACACAAAATCTCCAGACTTCCCTCAAAAGCAGCTTTGATTTGTGGCATATGGCTCAGTATTCATATTCCTCTGGGAATACACACTGTCGCTCTTGTTGACATTATTAATTCATTCCTCCTTTCCTCTCTCCTCTTCCTTTCTTTCCACAAGTATTTTTCAGTTGTCTACTATGTCTTTCAAATTGCTAGATGCTTATAAAGAAATGCCTCAGACAGATACAGTCCATGGTCACTGTCCTCATGGAGTTTACTGCTGAATATAAACATTAACCACATAAACACATTAACAAGTACAGGATCACAGGTGGTGCTAGGTTTTGTGAAGGAAAAGAACAGAGACATTCGAATAATTTGAATGAAGGGGAGAAGCTAATTCAGTTGATAGCCTTGGCAAGGCCTTTCTGTTGGAAATGGTAATTAAGCTGAGATGTGAGGAATGAGTAAGAGTTGTCCCAGCAGAGAATGGAGAGGAAGAATATTCTAGGGAGAGTGGAAGAGTGTCATGTGCAAAGGACCCTTGCTGGGTTCCCTAACTACAGTGCGCTGCTTGGAGTTGTCTGAAGCAAAGAGCTTATGTCAAGTTTGAAGACTGGAAACTCCGCCGGTGTGGTTGGAGCATAGGGAGCGGGGGGGGGGGGGGGGGCGGAATGAGTGGGGAGAGGTAGGAAGGAACCTCATCACAGGAACTTTTCGTTTTATTCCAAGTGCAGTGGGAAGTCATTAAGAGGTTATTGTGAGCCATGAAGCCCAGAATAGTATTTGGTACATGGTAAACTTTCAATTATTTAAAAACAACAAAGACAACTGCATTGTTGAACATGAATTCTGGTAATACCTAGGAATATGGATTACTTATGAGATACTTAGGTAATTCCTATTTTTAGTTCATTCCTCTTTATAGGAATCTGAGGCCAAGAGAGGTTAAGTAAAGTTACCTAAAGTGACATAGCTAGTAATTGGCACAGCCAAAATTCAGCTCCAGGATTTTCCAAGTCTTGACCTCTTGCTCTTTTCATTGATTTATCTCCCAAGTTTTTAATTTTACTTAGTTATCCTTATGTTCATTTTTAATATTTAAAGAACATGCTGTGTATAAATTTTTCACACTTATGTACCAGAGAATTAATGCCTCACCCTGTATATTAACTTGTGTCTACTTTCTTATGGTTTTGGTTAGCCTTGCAAAAAAACATATCTGTTGGGTATTTTTTGTGGTTTTTTTTTTAGGTCATTCATTGGCTAATTTTGGACCTCAAATCTCTCTGCAGTGCTGCTTTATTGTCAGCAGGGGGCAGCTCTTGGATTCCGATGTAGTCATCCTCTTGAGGGCATTTAGAATTATTTAAATGAGAAAGTTAATAGACTGATGAAAGTTTAGTGTATTTTTACTACAAGTTTACTGTATCAAGTTTACATGATATATTTATCTGTTTCTATTATAATTAAGAATTTTGGCAGTTATAAATCTGAATTGATGAGTATTATTGGCTAAAATGAGGATTTACTATTTTACTCAAATATTCATCAGACTAGATGTATTCACACCCTAAAAAACTAGGTGGGATCTTCATAACATTATTTATAGGATATTTCATATCTTCCTTTTCAAGTAAGTTATTCAAACTTAAGCTCAATGAATATGAGTTAGAAGTACAGTACATGTCCTTTTCATGCAGTTGAAAGGAGGAAAAGACAAAGAAGAAATTAACCTAATATTAAAATTGTTCATTTTTATTTACTTTCCAGTATCCTTGAGGAACAGGAGCATACTGGGGGAGGAGACGATGATATCCTTGGGCCCGGGTGTACGGAGGACTCCACTGACGTGTACAGCTCCCAGTTTGAGACCATTTTGGACAACACTTCTTTATACTACAGTGCAGAGTCGTTGGAGACATTATACTCAGAGCCTGATAGCTATTTTAGCTTTGAAATGCCCCTCACTCCAATGATACAGCAGCGCATTAAAGAAGGTGGTCAGTTCTTGGAGAGGACGTCAGCGGGGGGACATCAAGATGTCCTGAGTGTCTGCGCAGATGGTGGAATAGTGATGGGCTCTTCTAGTTGGATCGCCAACGGGCTGAACGATGCCAGCGACTCCATCTACGCCAAAGGCACCCCGGAGATTGCCTTCTGGGGAAGGTAGTAACCCAATCTCATTAATTTCATGGTGGTGGTTTTTGTAGCATTCTCTCTTTGGGAAATCTGAGTGTGGAATATATTTTAAAAGCATTTGTCCAGTTTCTGTGGATATAAGCAAATGATGTGAATAGAAAGTAATTTGGGTTTTAGGGGTAGGCCAGTTATACCTCAGCAGTTTGCCAAATTGGCAAGCTGTGGTCATTTTATTCTGTGGTATTTCCTGGATCACCATATGTAAATTGGACACTGAACAAATATTTGTGGGTGATGAGTGGATAATAGTTCCAGTGACACAGCTGTGATGTCAGTGACATGGTGCTGTGAAAAGAACACTGGGAGATCTCGGCTTTAGTCTGGCTCTGACATTGGTTGATGACTTGGAGCAGGTTTTTTGACTAGCCTTTAGATGCCTTAATTGTAAATTGAGGTAGATCTGATGGTCACTGAAGTCTCTTCCAGCCCTTTATTTTCTGTATAAGTACCACGTGCTAACCGATTGCGCCACTGGAGCTCCAGCCCTTTATTTTCTGAGGCCCCGTTCTGTCTGGCTGTCTTGCTCTTCCTGGAGTGGTGGGGGACGGATCCGATTGTACATGCTTGATAGAGTGGATACTTTGGTCAAGGCTATAAATATTTATCTTCTCTCACTACTTTAGGATTTAAGTCTGTCTGGGAGATAAAATGACAAATTGTATGGGTTACATGCACCATAGCTGTCATTTGGGAGTTCCCTGCATATTTATAGATTATCTAGCATTTCATTTCTTCTCTCCAATCATCCGTGGGTCACCTACCTGTCTTCTAGCATGTCCATCAGTAGCCAGAGAATGCCAAACTTTACAACAATTTTATGAATTTAGTTTTGATATATTTTTCTTTGTGTGCACAGAGGTGGTGATGTAGGGAAGGTAGATGGGGATAAATTATTTTAAAGCTGCATGAAAAAATGTCAGTGCTCTTTTTAAAAGTCTGTATTCATATTACAGGTTTCCAATGAACCTCTTTTTTTGAGCAGTCTGCCCTGTGTTAAGCATTTTGTATCAACAATTTATGGGATTATATAGTTCACTGAATGAGCAAATTCAAGACTGGCACATGATAACATTGTAGCTGTACATTTCTATGTGAAATGGATTGTGATATTGGTTGTCTTTTGGATCCCAGTGAGACAATAAAAAGAACACAAGGTCTCAAAAGCATGAGACTTTGGTCTGAATTACGTGGGTGAGCCACTTATTCTCTCTGAAACCTGATTTATTTTTTCACAGAGAGGGGTTAATGATATCCAGAGTGCTGTGTGGCTGTGAGATTTAGATGGTTAACATAGATTAAAGCACCTAGCACAGTGCCTGCTACAAAGTGGGAGCTTGAATAAATGTTTGAGTCTGAACCGGTTGGCTGATAAGTCCACACTTAGACTTTCTGTGTCTCTGAGAGGGGTTCTCCATGAGGGAAGGGTGTCCCTGAAAGCGGGTGTCTCTGAGTGGGGCATCCTCAGGGGAGGTATCCCAGAGGGGGAGTGTCCTTGAGTGAAGGGTATCCCTAAAAGGTAGGTTGTCCCCGAGTGGCGGCATCCCTGCAGGAGGGGGGTATCCCTGAGTGGGGAGTCCCGGAATGAGGGCATCCCTGAGACAGAAATGTCCCTGAAAATAAGGGTTTCCCTGAGATTGGAGTGTCCCTGAGTGGGGGTGTCCCTGAGACTGGAGTGTCCCTGAGGGGGAAGGTGTCCTTGAGAGGAAAGGTGTCCCCAAGAGGGTCAATCCTGAGTGAGGGAGTCCCTGAAACAAGAGTGTCCCTGAGACTAGAATGTCCCTGAGAAGAGGGTATACCTTTGGGGGGCAGTGATGGGGGATCCTCCACCTGAGAGGTGGAGTAGATGTTCCTGAGAGGAGAGTGTCCTTGAGAGGGGGCATCTCAGTGGAGAGTACCACTTTTTGAAATCCTTTGCTTTACCATCATCTCTGATGCCTGTAAATCATGGTAAAATGCTGTAAGACAGATATGTAGTTTCATTGAAATTTCTACCCAACTTTCTGGGGTGAGTGGAAGTTGTTTATATTACAGACTAAAAGTAGGTCAGGGAGCTGAGGAGTTTTGGGCTGAGAGGCTTTACTGAAGAAGCCACAGGGAGGGTGTGTAAATGAAGTCAAGAGATGAGCATCAGTGAGTCAGATCAGGAGGGAGCTGAGTGAGAGGTTTATTAAACAGATGGCTTGGGCACTCAGAACAGGAGGTTGTCATCATTTGGCCAGCAAGGGTGCAAGTCATTAGTATGGACAGAGTTAAGTAGTTAAGAGAGAGCATTGGGCGGGTTATAGTATCTTTGCATCTCAGATTTAGACAGTGGTATCCTTCAGTCCATCTTGAGATAAAGTTTCAGGTGCGTCACTTGCATTGTCAAGCCATGAGGTCTTGGTTTAGTGGCAGAAGACTGCATTCTAGTAGGGCAAGAGAGGTATCTCAGACCTAAGGCAGCCTAACTTCTCACCCAGCTCTGGCACTGCTGCATGTGGTTCCTGACTGGTGCTCACTCCACCACACTGCCAGTGACTTGGACAGACACATCTTACATTCTTCAAGTTGACATAAGATAATAAGTGGTGATAGGTGGAGGAAGTTTTATTTTGTGATATTTTGTGATATATGCCTCTATTCACAGTTAAAAATATAGGCAGCTTAATGGTCCTAAGAAATTTTAAAGAAACTGGGAAACTTTCATATTTTTCATTACCCTCTTCTGCCTTTTTTGGTGCTTTGGAGAATTGCAACCCCAGAGGGATTGTGTTAGTATTGTGGGTTGAAGAAATACAACATTTTACAGCTTGAAGGGAGCTTTAGATAACCTTATTTTATAGTAAAGAGTTGGTGTCCTGGTTTGGTAGGGTGAATTACCCAAAGTCATGCAACTTTCCAGTGATAGATCCTGTATCCAGAACTCAAGTTGCCTGATTCCTAGACCAGGTGCATTCACTGTCCCAGGCTGCCTGGTCTCTTTTATCATTATTTTCTCTTTTGATCTGATTTCTGTTGTGCCGTATATATCTGTAGAGCCAGAAGTCTGAGTTGGTCTGTTTTCAAGAAACTAAGTTCTAGATGTAGAGCTGGTTGTTGATGGTGGTGTGTGTGTTCAATTTGAGAAAAAACTCACCGAGTCAATAATAAACATGTTTCCATAAATTTTTAAAGCAATCAGTGGGAAGCCTTTTAAAATTTCTTCCGCATTAAAATATCCTGCAGAAGTAAGGAAGTAGACACAGAGGTATTGAGCCTGTTCAGGAAATCCAGGCTAGATTGCTGACTATACAGCAGTGAAGACAATTGACTTCCCTCAGCCAAGCACTGAGGGCCAAAGTATTAGAATTCAAGGAAAAAAATATTTTCCAATTTTATTGGTAAATGTGATAATTACAAAAGAAGAGTAATAAATAAAACAAGTACACCTGCCTAGCATTCCGTCTGTGTTCACTGGCCTCTCCTGTTTTCTTGGTAGTGGGCTGGGGGTCTGACCATACCGGACAAAGTGAACTCTGAGGAAGGCACAAAGGAAAGGGGATGAGACTAATGAGTTCTCCCCTGACAATGCTTCTTTGATATTCGATGCACATGAACCAAGGAAATTAAGCACATCTCTTTTGAGGTATTGATTTTAATATACAGAAATGCTAGCTGTCTAGAAGAAAATATTGTAAGATTACCTTAGCTAGTCTCTAAACATAATTTTATATATAGCCTATAAACACACGGTGCTTAATTCTTATAAGCTAGGAGAAAGAATGGAACCATTAATGTTCTTATTTTCCAGATGGGGAAACTGAGGCATAGAGAGGTTAAGTAACTTGCTCAAAGTCACACATATGGTAAGTGGCACATCCAGCACTCAAACCCAGGCAGTCAGGCTCCAGAACCCACGCTTCTACTGACTTTAAATCCTCTATACAAGTGATAATGATTTCATGATATATCCTGTAACAGTACCAGATATCTTAAACAAAACAAAAGTGTATTTGTTTGGGTATTGCCTAGATATATTTTAAAATTCTTTTCTATTTCAATATGTATGTGTACTTTGCCATTAAAGATTATTTCGGTGGTAGGATTTGATAGTAATTTCTGTGGCACACAGGATGACATTGTTCTTTGTTGCGTTGCTTCTTTAAAGAAAGGTGGAAGTGGTTGGGAGAAAGGTTTAGGATGTTACAGGACTTTGGCAAATCTTAGTTCCCTCTCTTCAGGAACTCCTTCCCATCTTGGACTTAGCCACGCTTTGGTGGCCAGGAGGAGATTGCTCTTCTCTGCTACTCTCACGACTTAGATCAAAGAAGAAAATACTCTAAATCTGTAATATTCTACTGTCAGATTGGGAGGAACGTTCTTTTTGAGTACTTGTCTCACTATTTGTCATTTAAAGGATGATATAGAACTTTGTGATGTCAAGTAAATCATTTGTAAGGTAAAAAGCCCCTGAGAATCCTGGAATAAAGCTGGACAGGAGTAGTTAAATTTTCCCCAGTGCTCTGACTCAGTGCTGACCAGGGAGCTGCACGTCAGCCAGTAAATAGCTCACCCTGCGAATGTAACACAGTATTTTAATGAAGAAGCATAGAGTAGCATCCCCTCCTTTGTAGTCCAGCTACACAGCACTCAGGCTGACAGGGGGTCAGCGGTGCTGTGTGAAGTCCAGTCACATGGCTCCAAAATTAGAAAGGATAATTAAAGACTTACAGTTACACATATTGCAATGGGTTCCTTTGTGTCTGGGTGCTTCTCCCTCGCCGGCCTGTCAGCTGCTGATCACACTTCCAATCAGTAAGTTCTGATCTGAAGACTGCAAGGCACAAATGTTGTCATTGTGACCATTTATGGAGCAGAATATTGCCCATTTCTATTGAGCTCGGGTTTAGACAGAGAAGAAAAGAGAGATAGAAGATACAGTAATATGGCAAGAACTTCTCTTTTGGGTCTCTGAAATATATGGATCTGCTTTTTAAAATTACCTTTTGAGTGAAATAGATTCGTTTTCTATCTCAGCTTCCTAGTTCTTTCAGCTCTTGCTCTGGACCCGGAGGAGAAGGCAGAAGAGGTGAATTACATCTGTGTGCAGCTGATTTGCCTGAGTAAAGTGCTTCCGTCAGTCTGCAGTCTACACAGAAAATGTGATGTTCATATTCGTGGTTTTCTGTCTTCCTTTCGCACCCTCTCCCCCCACCCCCCAAAGGCTTCCCCATTCTCAAATGGAGTGTTGGTGTTTAGAACTATCCTCTTTCTTCCTCCATTTTTCTCTTTCCTTAGTGGCTTTCTGCTTAGGAGGAAGTCACATGAAATAGAGTGATACTTAGAAGAATTTGTTGAAAAGGGATTTCAAAAATTTTTTCAACATCCCAATTTAAAGCCTGAAGGTATTTTAATAATAATGTATGAATATCAAAATAAGAAATTAAAATAATGTGATATTAGCTGAGCAGGTGATGGTGAAAGGTACTTTGATCTTGTGAAGTTGTCTTCAGAGATCTGGCCACCCATGGAGCTCCCACTTTTCTTCTATCATTAGGAGCGGGAAGCTCTGCTGCCTAATAGTTTCTTTAGTGGGTGGCTGCTGCTCTACTAATCTCTTTTATTTTCTTTTACCTTTTAAAAATTGTTTTGTAGAAAAAGAGGTTCTCATTTTTCTCTTTCTAGCTTCCCGAAGTAGTTGTAATGGTGAATTTTGGTTTTTGGCTGCAAAGGAGTTCTTGCTCAGTGATGAGGGTGGGATCTTTACTAGGTTTCAGAGCCCATCATATCTAATTTTGAATCCTGCCTCAGTTACTTACTAGGTGTGTAGTTGTAAGTAGATACATAAAATCTGGAACCTTTCCAAGTGTAAAATGGAATTAATAATACCTATCTTGTAAAGTAAGGAAGAGAACATGAAGTTAAGTGGGGAAAAAAAAGAAAATCAAGTAGTCTAATAAGGTCTGGTACACAATAGGAGATAATTTGATGAAAATTAGTATCAACAATAGTAGTAACCTGAAGAAAAGTCATCACACCTCCCACCATGTGCTCAAGCCTGCACCCACCTCCTAGCTGCCGGCACCCAGGCTTCCCAGAAGTAAGCCTCCTGAGACACTTATGACTGGACTTCCTAGTACATCACTTTCTTTTAATGAAGTTTGACGTCCTTTCATAGGGTGGGATAAACATGGGATTTGGAACACAAGACAGGAGGTGAAGTCGTTCTCTTTCTTGGCAGCTTGATCTTGGTCAGGTCATTTCATTCATGGAACTTCCGATTCCTTACTGGAAAAATGGAAATCACTTTACTAACCAAATTACGGTTTTGTTGTAAGAATTTGCTACGTTCTAGCTTGTTAACATTCATTTTAAACCTATCCTGGGTTTTACAGTAGTCTGAGTAATAGTCTAAGGAATAATAAGAAAGTAGATAAGAAAAAGCCTGGTAAAGAAAATTAAAAAATAGATGCAAGGATCTGGTGAATGCTTGAACATAGGACATGTAGGACTGAGTCAAAATGATTGTGAGATATCAAGCTTGGACCACTTACTGAATCAAAAAACAATACACAGGAATTGGGGAAAGAAGCAGGGTTGGTAGAACACCAAGCGGGGTCAGTTAGGAGAGCGAAGGTCATTCATGTGGGCTGGAGGGAATGTGGGATTGAAGGTCACTGGAGGGACTTTGGAGTTGCCCTTTTAAGGGAGAGGCTTGCAGCCTTGGGAGTGAGAAAGCAGAGGGCGAGGAGGTGCTCATGCACAGGAGCACTTGGGTGCTGCTAGTGTATCCTTCCGATTCCATCTTTGTAGAATGTGCCCTGTAAGGTCAGTTTCCTGGCAGCTATTCTCCTCTTGCCTTCCTTCTCCACAGTGGCTTGGCTGTCAGTGAGCCCAGCGTGCAGGCTGAGTACTCTGGGCATTGGTTGCGCTTTTGGAACCCTTCAGAGAGCCCTGGCTCTGGTGATCTTGGGCTCTCCCTGTTTGTTGGGTGCCCTTTCATGTAAAGTAGTGAAAACTTCAGGAAATGGACCTGGTTTGAAATAGGTATGCCCAGAGACATTCTAATTCTGTCGTTTAAACCTTAAACAAACAAAAGTAATTCCCTGGCATGAAGGGCACAGTGGGATACTGGCTACTTGGATAACCTTTTATCAAAGATGACTTCAGACGATAAAGGACACAGGGAGAATCATAGTTCTAAATAAAAACTGAAATGATGGTTAATATTTTAATTTGTTGAAACAGTACAGCAATCTTTTTACTTATATATCAATGCAACATTTAACTTTTAAAGGAAGAGAGCAGAGGTCATTTAACACCATATTTGCAACAGTAGACATTATCCATAGATCATAGGTTTGGAGAGAAAAAAAGACAGACTTTCTCCAATTACATAGTTCTCTGAAGATATTTTACGTACAAATACAAAGTTACTTGAACTCAACATGGGCATGTTTTCAGTGCTTTAATCTTGTGTGTGTGTGTGTGTGTGTGTGTGTGTGTGTGAGATTTTGGATTTCATAAGCTCTCTATTAACTGAGATACTGAATACTGAGTACAGAGTCTACACTGAAGAGCCTTTTTATTCAGTATCTGAGACAGGCAGTGGCCTGGATTTCATAAGCTCTCTATTAACTGAGATACTGAAAACTGAGTACAGAGTCTACACTGAAGAGCCTTTTTATTCAGTATCTGAGACAGGCAGTGGCCTTGGTGTGAGGCAAGTTGAATATAATCTTTTTCATGAATGTTAATGAGGATTAATATATTAAACCCCATCTAAACCAATGTTAGATAAATGCTTTGACCTCATAATCCCTCTACTTCATAGGCTACTTCACATGCCTGTGTTCGAACATCCATTTGGTCTCTATATCTAACATTATGAAAGGAAGCCTTATAAATCGCACACACCGAACTACTGAGATTTCATGATCTTAGTCACCATCTTGCCACCCAGCCACATTCACTTGGGAGCTTGTAAGAAATGTAGCATCTCTGGCCCCACCCTGACCTACTGAATTAGAATCCTGTTTTAACGAGATATCCAGGTGATTCAGTTTGAGAAGCACTGGTCTACAGTAGTGGTCCATGGGCCAAACTTTGAGTAGTAAAGCTGTAGACCAGTGGTTCTTAATCTTAACTGCACATTAGAGTTATGTGGAGAGCTGTTTAAAATTATGATTCTCCAGGATTCACCAGCAAGACTCTGATTCCGTTGGTCCAGGGTGGCACCTAGACATTGATAGCTTTAGGTTTCCCAGGTAATTCTGATGTGTACCCTAGGTTGTCAACCCTTGCTACTTCCAGGTGTGGTCCTCAGGCTCTGCAACACAGCTATCATCTTGGACCTTATTAGAAACCATTTATCTCAGACCTCACCCTGGACCTGCTCAATAAAAGTTTGCATGAACAAATTCCCAGGTGATTTACAAGTACTTTAATGTTTGAGAAGCACTCACTGGAAAACGATTAGAGGCAGCATACAGGGCTGAGTAAGACAGTCTCTCTTCTCAGGGAGAGCAAGCCTGTTAAATGCAACCATGCTTGTGGTGGGGGGATTCTCCTAACAAGTTTGTAAAAGTGAGTATTCTGGCTGTGAACCTGGAAATGATTTCTTGTGTTGTCTTTAGTGTAGCATTCATAGGGTGCCCATTTTTAGAAATACAGGGGTTGGTTGATTTTCCTGCTAGGAAACAGTTAGGTTTAGTGGTAAAGAGTATGGGTTCTTAAAAGTCAGACTTCTATGATTCAATTTTTAGTGAATTCTCTCTCTCAACCTTGAATTCCTTATCTAGGAATAGGGATAATAAGTTACTTATACTTAATGAGTACTCAAAAAGGTTGGCTATTATGTCAGTAATAATAATGCTTGAACTATTGTCTTCAAAACTTCTTCAAAGTTACCCTGTATGAATGGACTGTGCTAATATCTACATGACTTAAGATGTTGTATATCTGTAAGAATAATTCTGAGAGCTTTAGATTACTCGAAGGTGAGGAATTTTAATGACAGTTTGTTTTATTGTCTTTATAATTCCTCTACTTAGCAGCCCCACCTCAACACACCAAGGTGTGACGTTTTCTTGCCAAGAGTAATATTATGAAGTCTTTAGCATAGAGAAAATAAGAGGTATTGCATAATTATTATTGTGAAACAAAATCATAAAAGTTCATTATTCATACATGACATTCATTTAACAACGATTTTAGGATTTAATATACAGTATTATACTTAGGTATAGGTCTGTTTCTCCCATTGGGCTGTGGACTTCTTAAGTCTTAGTTTTGGGACTCCAAGAACCTCTGGCACAGCAGCCAGCATATATTGGGCACTCAGTTTTTGTTGGTTGAAGAACTTAATGAGATACTAAGGCATTTCCCAAAGAGGAGGCAGATAAGATAACTTCACAAATAACCCTAATACAGACCCTAGAGAGCCAGGCTGGAAGGTTCCAAGGCTGGGCTACTTCCAGCATGGGGGTGTCATGGAGGCCCTCATGGAAGTGTTGCTTTTTGAGGTGGACTTTGCAGGATGAGGTAGATGTGTGTAAATGGTTGTAGGGGGAGCAGAGCAGGGTGACTTTCCATATAAAGGGAGCCAAAATGCAGCAGAATTAGTAGCAGCTGCTTCGATTTGGGGACTTGAGAGTTGAGGGAATTATCTCTTTGCCTCCTGTTCTATTAATTTTCCAGACTGAACAGGTGCTGCTCCACTCAAAGAGGTAGCCATTATACAGTTGACTTTTTAAAACTTCTGTAACATTTTAGGTGTACTAAAAAGTGTAGAAAATAATAAACACCTGTGATCTCGCCATCTTAGGAAATGAAACATTACAGATGAATTGCAAACTCCTGTGAATGCCTCCCTGGTCTCATTCGAGGTAACCATGACCTGCTGATGTTTATCATTCCTATGTAGGTGTGCATTCATATACATGATATTGTATTGTTTCACATGTTTTTGAACTTTATATAAATGCTTTCTTGTTTCCTTTTGTAACACTTTTTTTTTTTTTTGGCTCAGCACTTGAAATTCGTTCTTATCGATGCATAAAACCCAAGTTTCTCAGTTTAATTGCT